TCCCATGAGCAAAATCTGCTGCCAAAAGCATTAGCGCATTTTCAAAGGACATTCCTCAAACATGAATGAGCCAAGCCTCCGTGATCATTTTAATTGGTCCAGCAGTGCTTGCAGCTAAAAGTAAAGCTGCCACCTTTCATGGCAGACCAGACCTTTCCCCCTACCCCCTAATATTTGTGAATCTGACATTTTACAAAACTAGTTGTCAGTCTTGCTCAGTCTGGGAGATTTATATAAAGTCATGATCACAGCAGTTAACTTGATTCTGTCAAAACTGGTGTATAGGCTGTGGGATATTGCCCAATGGAAAGAAGAGGAATGGTCTTTCAAGATGGTAGGTGGTTTTGAATAAGTAAAATTTCATTGATGCCAGAACACTTATGGCCATTTATTGGTTTCAGCTCTGATACCCTGATTTGGGTTGAAAAACTCTGACTGAAACTAGAGCAAAGATTTTGACTGGGATCTCTCTGCAAGTCTCCTCACACATGCCCATGCACACACATGCCCATGCACACACAGACCCATGCAGAGCTGCCGGAATTTAAATGGACATTTCAACACCATCCTGCTTTTGTGTAGTCAGGAGTTTTAGTCCAAAACTTTTCAAGGTGATACAGACAGCCTTATTATCCTCCGTGTAGCCCTAGTGACAATGCCAGGTAAGAGCATGAAAAGGGGTGCAGGCAACCCATCCCCTTCCCCTGCTGGCATTTCAAATGCCAAGGGTAAAAAGACATGGAGATCCTGGCTGCCTGCACCAGGTGGCCCCAATGCCCCCTTTTTATGGTCTGGGCTTTGAGTCTTTTCTTCTAAACATGAAATTATTACTCCACCCATAATATGTTTAGTGCTGGACTTGGTAATGTTAGGTTAATGGTTGGACTGGATGATCTTAAAGGTCTTTTCCAACCTAAATGATTCTATGATTCTTCATAATGCAAACTCTTCTTAGTGCAGTCATTATGAGAGAAGTGAGGGAGGTGGAACAAGCACCCCTTGTGCTGAAGGTCCTGAGGCCGAGTACTGCTGCCATTCGGCCAAGCAATAGGCTCTCATCAGGGAGCTTGTTTTTTGAGTAAAGGTGTGTAACATTGACTGTTGAGTATGGTCATAAAGTACCATATAAGCACATTAACAAAACATGTATCACGCTCTAGGAACAGTCTGTATGCAGACAGTTGTCGATACTCATCCAAAGTCACTCTTGCGGAGAGAAAACGTATTTATCACATCTCTAAGCTTTGTGCAATATGGTCTTGATACCACTGCACACAGTAGAATGCAGCTTAGGATATATCCTTCCCCTCCTGCCACCAGCAGCACTGGAAAACTAGCCTGTCTCACGGATGAATGGTGAAGGTTCTAGGGACATGTTGGCTGGAGGCTGAGCAGGAACTGGTCAAGCTTTGCTGCTTGCACTTCCAATGGCCTGCATTTCTGCTTTGCAGTCTCTGGCTGCTCTTCTTGGCATTAGGCCAGCAGGACAAGCAGCAGTGTCGGAGACCTGACCCAGCCACGCTATTTTGGGCTCATTGTCCTTGTATGTAAAGGCTGACCACATATGAATAGATGTTTAAAGGTTTTGAAGGAAAATACATTCCTGAACATTGTTAGACCGACTCTGACTTCAGTTTCAGCTACACGTTCTCCACGGACAAATCAGTGGACTTTAGAGTCAAGCTGGATCCAGTCAGACATCGGGGGCTAGGTTTAAAATTATTGCAGGAGCACTTTAGAAAGGGGATGTCCATGTTTCCATGAACAGCTGAATTACGGCTCTGCACTGGCCCACAAAAAACATGCGGAGTGGGTCTATGTTCATAAATGGGATAACTTCTCTTGTCAAGAATGCATGTGGCTTAAGAACATCTTTTCATATACACCTCTTAAAAAGCACAAGGACCAAAACATGTAATCTCATTGCTATCCATTGAGAAGTCATTAAGGGAGCTGGGGGAAAGGACTGCCAATGGGAAAGGATAGTTCATTCTTTGTGCCTATCTGTGCTTTAAATATTCTAATAGGCTGTGAAATGCAGTGGAAATGTCTCAAACATGGCTACATTTCTACTAAGAAGCCAAATGGCAAAAAGCAACTCATTTCACAAAAGACACCAAACAACCCTGAAAACAATTTTCTGTCATTTTAGGTCATGACTAGATTCAAACTTGCAGTGTAGGGGTGACAACTTGGTCTCTCATTATTTTCACCTGCAGCCATCCAATCTGTTGCAGCTTTGAAAATATAAAAGCATGATCAAGAGTTATATGACAGTATGAAATTTCAAGGCATCTGCACTAAGTCAGAAAAATAAGACTGTGCACCCCATAAATGTAATGAATGATGAGCTTATTATCAGGTACTCCCATGCCTCACATGAGCAACTCCATCCAGTGCATAGGAATAGAGTACAGTAAGAGAAAAGAAGAAAGAAATGCTAAAAGGTAACAAATAATAAGGTTTGCTTACTGTTGTTCTTTCTAACTCCAACAATAGAAGCAATTAAAGTGCATCAATCAGGTCTTTTTTCTGTCATAGGTGTGTTCTCCAGTGGTTTTAAGAGCTTGCAAATTCCTATGACTATAATCAGCCTGATCCCACTGTGCTCCCTGTCAGATCCCACAACGGCCATAATCTGGCACCTGCTTGGTACAAAGCCTGGAAGTGAGGCTGGGTGCCCGCAGAATAAAAATTAAGTGTGTTCAGTGCAGAGGGGGAGGATCAGAGGGAATTTAGGAACACTGGTGACAGCCTTTTTTCTTCTCTCTCAGCAAGAGGGTCCTGACTATGACAGGTCAAAACCCACTGCTATTGTTCTGCCTTAAACCTCCCTCTTCCAGATGCAGAATTTTGCTTCCAGAAGCAGCCACGAGGATGTGTTCCCAATAAAATCAGCTACCTCCATGTGTCTCTTCTGGACAACCCAGCTTGCCCCATTGTCAGACAGTTCAGAAAGCAACAAACAATTTCTTGCCTTGACTGGTTTGCAAATCCTCTTCCTCACGCCTGACTTACATAGGTACATTGCCTAGAAAAGCATTGGTTTTAGATAACCTAAGCTTTCTCCGTCCTTCCAAATTCACTGGTTTTCCTCAGTGTGGAATTCAGTGGATCCCATTGACCTGGAACTGCCTCAATCGGATTTTTCTATAGACAAACCACCCCAGATCCTGATTGTTCTCCCCTGTAAATGACTGTAGTGTCTCTGATAGAGATAACTCTGCAACTCTATAGAAATCTTTCATCGGTTTAGTAAAGTACAAGGACCTATATTACAATTTCATTCATATGAGAAAGCATTTTCTCATGGTCTGTGTTGTCTTTGAAATTCTCCATTGGAACTGGAAACTGTTAAATAGCAATCTACTTTGCTGTCTAGCTAAACATGAGCAGACCCATGAATTGGATTCTCTCCTAACACAGCGTACAAGCTTTGATTCATGAAAACTGAGATGAAAAGGAAGATTAGTGATTTATAAAACTAAATTATCTGCAAATTTCTTCAAGTGCTGTTATTGCCACTTTGTGAGACACAGAGACACTGAATAGCTTGGCCACTCCTGGCTGGCTGGGAAGAGCCTAATGTGCTGTGGGCTCTCTTGCAAAGAGATGGTAATAATGATAAGGACCAAAGTTGCACACTCAGAGATGCAATGAGAAGACAGAAGTTACTGGCTCCCAATGGTGGGCCCCATTCACCTCCCTTTTAACAGAGCCCAGAATTGTCAGGGTCTAAAAAAAGTGGAACAGCCTAGATGGATTGCATCAAACTAAAAAAGGGAAGAAAAATGGTTTTTTTCTGTAGGTCAGATCACGCACTTGCCCTTGCTATGGGATACTTGGTGTGTGAACTGCCTCTGCCCTGCACTTCATCCTTGGTCAGGAGTAAAGGTTCCCTGTGAGCAGAGAAACCAGCGCTGGCAGGTCCAAAAGCAGAGGGCCTGCAAATCAGGGGGACAGGCAGGTCTGTAACAGCACAGCCAACACATCTTCATCTTGGAAACACCTTTCAGTTAAAGTGGGATTTCTCTCACCTGCGCTTAGCTACCAAAAAATGACCTGCATAGTCCATGTTAGCAGGCTAGGTTCCTTTTATAGTCTATGAAGAGAAGGGTTCATATTCTTCCCAGATCCCATCCTACACCATCCTGAGGAATATATGGATGGGTATAAGTCCAACTGTGCAGGTTACAGGGGCAAGTCCATTCTACCGGCATTTCTCAACACCAGGACATGAAATTATCATTGGTCACAGTGAGAGGAGAAACAGAGACAGCAGCTGCTAAAAGCTACCTGGGCATGAATAGCATGTAAGAAATTTTAGTGCTGCAGATTTCAATATTGTGATTAATAATGGGGAAAAATCTTACAATTAAAGAGGATGTTATTATGACAAAGCTTTATAAGATACAGACGGGTATAGTGAACAGTGAACTAACATTGAATTGAGAGTCAGTCCACGGGAAAATATGGAAACCACTGAAATCTTGTCTGTGGTCATGATTCAAAGCAGTTCGCCCATTTCTTTCTGGGAAAGCATTTCTGTGATGCTAATAAATGTCCTATTTTTTGATGGTATCCTTTCTTTTACTCCCAACATGACAGCTGAAGAAAATTACAGTGAAACAGTAGCAAAGGTTGTTCAGCTTGAATCTAATGCTATCTAGCAGGCAGTGGAATAAATACGAAAGGCAGCAGAAGCATCGTTTAAGCTAGGCTGAACAAAGCATGGAAGTATGCGCCCCCGTGTTTGTTTGGAGGGGGGGGCTTTCCAGCTCTGCCTCCCCCAGCACGACCCACAGCCTGCAGCTGCAATTCCTCAGTGCAGGGAAAGACCGCAACTCTGAGGAGAGCCAGTGAATCCCAGCCCAGCTTCAGGCTGGCCTGTGACTGTACAAAAGCGAGGGGCTGCGTCAGGGTTGTGCCTGGATCTCCAGCACCCCGCAGAGGCATGCGGATCCGGGAAGGGAGGACGCCGGTGCCCGCACTCCTGCGGATCAGTAGATGATTCCTTCTGGTTCCAGCAGCAAGTACTTCTTCATGGACGGGGGGATGGAGAGCAAGGGGACTCCTCGGTGGCACCTTTCTGACAGTATCGCCCGAATAGCACATCTGCATAAATGCATGAGTGACCGTGGGGAATTGTTGCACACAGTGAACAAAGAGTCATAGAAATCCTGGTGCCGCTGTAAAAAAACACAAGGGTGTTTTAGGGCAATAAGGCTCTTTTCCTTCCCTCCCTTTCCCCTGCCCACATGCAGCCCTGGGCAGAACAAGGTAAAAAGCACAGCCAGCCACCCTGTCCCTTGGAGGCACATCAAGCACCAGGGACTTGGTTTAGCCAAACGCCTGCACAAAATTCTTATGCTTGCCTCAATTATTTCGTGCTAAGTTGAAGACTACGCTGAAATCGTTCAGCTTGCTATGCATTATATCCATCAGCTTGAGGTGGGGGTTCCTCTGTGCTGTTAGTCCTGATCTGAGCGGGCGCTGCAGCCAGCTCAGGGGCAGTGCACGTGGACGAGTTAATCCCCTAAACCTCACCACGGGGCAGTGAGGCAGCATAATGCTGGCGCTACCGGCGTGTTCGCTGCGGCTGCAAACGGCCAAGTAGCTTTGGTCTTGCTCATCGCCCCAGTGGCCTTTTAGAATAAATAAAATTGCATCCCCACGAGAAGAGAAGTGCAGGTGCTTACAAATGATGTTGAAATAAAAGAAGCAAATGGTAAATACATGCGACTACGCGTGACTTGACCTTACTTTATATTCTTGCTACTTGACAGATCTGGTCACTCGTTTGTTCATATACACTTTATGTATTGAAAAGTACAGATTTGTGTCAACAAAATGTTTTTCTTCAATTTCATGTCAAATTTGGCAAACAGCTCTGACAAGAAAAATGACAATCTCAACAAAGAAATAGAGCAACTGTAGACTTTTGCAAATAAGAATGTTTCAATATTTCAGATTAAATTAGTCATTTCCTTTCTAATCACACTTGCAGCTCAGCAAAGCTTCTGTTGTTGCTGTTGTTACTATTATTATTATTATAATATTTAGGTGAAAAAGGACCTTTAACATTTAATTTTGTATTCACCCAAAAAGGTTTATTTTAATTTTTTTCTGAACAAAGCTGACCTGAAAAAACAGTTAGTCTCACAGTTCCTCTGTCTATATAACTCCACACTATGATACAGACAGGGTTCCCTGAACATCACTGATAATGCATAGCAGATATTGGTGCAGTTAACTTCAGCACTGATTTGAAAATTTTGAAAAAGACCAGTATTACTAAAAAACTGGAATATTGGGACTATGCAGATTTCTGAAGTAAAGGGATAATTATGTCAAAGCATGTAGTTTGTCCCACAATTTTGTCTTTTGACATCTTTTCCTCTTCGATCTCTCATTTTTCATTTAAATTCTCCCTTGTATTTGCAGCTAACCAGTCCTGCTCACAGAAACCCAACCCATGCAACAGAACCTAAAGATACATAGTCATTCACATGTACCACAGTACTTTTAAAACACTTGCTGACTTAAAAAATAAATATACACATCAACAGGTCTGAAGAGACACCAGAATCTTTGCACTTGCTGAGTGCAGGGACAACTGAGCTCCTGCAGCACCCCTGACAGGGTGCTCCAAAGGATAACGTTGCAATGAAAATTTCTCAGAAATATGTCTTTAGTCAGTGAGTGATATGCATTTGTCAAGTGGGTAATATTAAATGGTGAAATCCCGAATCCACGGAGAAGTTCTTCTCTTTCAAAAGCATTCTCACTTTTCTTTGGCCAGATATAGAGAATGCAAATAATGAGCTTGGATTTTACTCAGTTGCAACTCATTAAGAGCTTACCTCCATGACGTCGTCAGGTATGGCTGCTTTCCACTTCGATGTTGATTTGATGTGTTCGTAGGTATTGACGACAATCTCCACAGCTCTGGGGTGGGAATGACAGGCTTGTAGCACCTGCAGGCGGGATGCATAGAGACCATGAGTACCACCAAGAAGCTGGGGCTAGCCTGGATGCTCGGCACTGTGCAATGGCACACTAAGACACACAGTCAAAGAATTACGAGAGGCTAAGGTTGGAGATGCAACAGACACAAGCTCTGTGTACACTGCTCAGTGCAAGTGTGGCAAGAAGCTCCAGGCTAGTCTGCAGTGGAGCTGTGCACACCCCAGTTTAACACCATACAGAAATACGGGCCTAGGTCTCCAGAGCAGTGTAGCTTGCTGATGGGGGTAGCTTTATCATCTAAATCTGCAAATAACTTGTTCATAGCTAGGTTGAGTGACACCAGGCAAAGCCATGCACAAAGTCCTTGCTCCAGGACATGCAGCACAGGAACAGAAAAAAATCCCATCATATGAATCAAAAATGCATTGTTACAGGAAAACTTAAAGGAAGACCGGGAGATAACACAGCTCAAAAGTAAGGCTTCCAAGTCCTGGAAACAACTGCTCTGCCCAGTAACTTCAGCTCAGTAGGAAAAACCTCAAAGTCTGCTGTCACTCACACTCATGGAGTAACACTTTGCATTCACACTGTATGGTGCACGATTTTGTCCCACACAGTAGACAGGCTTTCACAAACAAAACTGCAGAACATCCCTCAGGGATAAATATCCTACATATTTTACAGATGGCAAATGATAGTTCGGAAGGGAGACATGCTCCATGCAACAGGAGAAGGGTGGAGGCAAGAAGAGGAGACCCCAGACCAGGCGCTCAAACACGCTCTAGGAGACTTAAGTGTTGTTCTGGTACAGACAGAGCCAGCTCATCCTGGGCACAACCAAAAGTTTGGCATTTTTTCCAAAGGTTTCTGGTTGCACGGCTTGTTAAAACTTTTTACATACAGTGGAGGAGTTGCAAAATGTTGCTCAGGGCACTGGATGAGAGAGAGTAAGTCCTGACTATAGCAAGCTTACTTAGTTTCCTAAGAAGTTTGTCAGCTACTTCTGTCAGTGCCTTGGGCTTTGCAGACCTTTAGAAATTCTTTGGGAGGGATCCTGCAATTATTTTTCTTTTTTTCTTTTTCACCAACTATGAGCCCAGGCCTAGCATTTCCCCTTAATTTCTCACATTTCCTGGGAATAAGCCAAAGCTTTACTGAGATCCATTACATTTGGAATAGATTTGAATAGATTTTTAAAGGTCAGAAGTGACAAACTGAATCAACTGGTCTGATCTCCAATCTTTGGTAGAGGCCATGAAATATGCATTTCTTATAACCCAGTTAAGCCTGTATGGAGCCAGGTTTGACAAAGGCATGTAGGTTTTCTGAAATGAGAAAGTGAATCAGCTCTGAAAAACTGAGCTTGAACCAGCATTTAGAGTTTGGGGTTTCAGGTTGGTTAAGAACAAAAATGGGATCTGGATCTGGTTTCTGGCATTAGCAACTGTAATTTCACTTCAGTTAAATGATACCACACTTAAACCAGGTTGGCTCACAAGGTTTTGGGCATTCTGCGCCCATAGTTTACAAGACTCCAGCAAATCCAGATACCACCAAACCCTGAAGTTTGGATCTGTCATGCCATTCCTGTTCAAGACATCACCTGTCTCCATATCCCTACTGTACAAAGCCATCCTTCACCTTGTGGAATTGCAGCGGATATATCCTAGCCGCTCCATGGTTCAGTAGCAGCTGGTAGCAGATGTCAGGCTGGGCGGCTGGCCGCACAGATGTCACTTTGATGATATACTGTAGTGGTGCGCAGCCATTGACATCCATGATGTTTGCTTCTGCTCCTGCCTCCAGCAGCATATGCAGCAGGATGTGATCACAGTTCCAGGCAGCTTTGTGGAGCGGTGATTTGAAATCCTCATCACGAGTATTCACTTCAGCTTTATAGTCTAAGAGCATCCGACAGATGAGGTGGTGATCCGGGCTGTATATCTGATCCTTATAGTGCAGGGCCCAATAGGCTGCACAGGCCAGGGGAGTCTCCATGTAAGCATTGAGAGCATCAACATGCGCTCCTTGTTCCACGTAAAAGGCCACGAGCTCCGGGATACCCAGACGCGCAACGATGTGCAGAGGAGTCTCCTCATCTTGGTTGTTTGTTTTTATGTTCACATTTGCTCCTGCCAAAAAAAGATGATGGGGAAAAAAAAAAAAAATCAATGCAACGAAATCCTAGTTTGGCCATCTCTCTGCTGGAGCCCTGCTACCCAAGGAGAAGGTGAGCGTGGGCAGCTGGTTTGAAGGACGCACATGGAAATGCAAATAGCTAGGGACGGGGATTCTGCATTTCTTAAACCTCCAGGAAACCCTTAGAAACTTCAGGTTCTTGGATCCAGCTTCAGATGTGATAACTTGGCCCCGAGCTGACAGAAGGCCTTATCTGAACACTGTTTTGGAGCAGCATGCAGGCCCAAATCTCTGTGTAAAATGCTTTTCCTGTAAATGAGGAACTGAAGAAAAAAGGAGAGCTTTACTCCTACTCTGGAGAATAGCTCTGCTCAGATCTATACCCTGAAAACACTCCCTGCAGCACCCCGTTAATGGCGAGCCTGGACGAAAGGCGGTTTTATGATAGATCCGGATAGATGATATTAAAAAAAAAAAAAAACAAAGCCCC